CTCCATGCCTACCACCATATCTGCCCATCCCCTTCCGACGCTGGCAGAGGAAGAGGGCAGAGGCAGAAGCTGCTGGGGTCCAAATCCGACCTGGCCCAGCCTCGGCTGTGTGACCTCAGCAAGTCAGACCCCTCCTCTGAGCCCATTTCCTCCTCTGTAAAATGCATACAGCAGCCCAGCACTTTGGGAGACCGAGACGGGCGGATCACTTGAGGCCAGGAGTTCAAAACCAGCCTGGTCAACATGGTGAAACTCCGTCTCTACTAAAAATACAAAAATTGGCCGGACGTGGTGGCGGGCGCCTGTAATCCCAGGTACTGGGGAGGCTGAGGCACGAGAATCGATTGAACCCAGGAAGCAGAGGTTGCAGTGAGCCGAGATCACACCACTGTGCTCCAGCCTGGGCAACAGAGTGAGATCCTATCTTAAAAAAAAAAAAAAAAAAATGCATACAGTGACAATCTCTGCCTCATAGGGCAGCGGTAAGAATGGGAAAACATTTCTAGCCAGGCGGGTGGCTAATTTATTGTATTTTTGGTGGAGATGAGGTTTCGCCTGTTGCCCAGGCTGCTCTCAAACGCCTGGCCTCAGGAGATCCACCTGCCTCGGTCTCCCAAAGTGCTGGGATTACAGGCATGAGCCACCACGCCCAGCCAAAGTTGGAGTTTTCCATATGGGAAAGACATTCTATGTACAGGAAACAGCAGAAGGAAAGACCTGGGAGTGGGGGATTATAACCAGAATGAGGAGGATTGCTGGGCACAGTGGCTCACGCCTGGAATCCCAGCACTTTGGGAGGTCGAGGCGGGAGGATCACTTGAGCCTAGGAGTTCGAGACCAGCCTGGGCAACATAATGAGACCCTCATCTCTGCAAAAAATAAAAAACAAGGCCTGGTGAGGTGGCTCACGCCTGTAATCCCAGCACTCTGGGAGGCGAAGGTGGGTGGATCACCTGAAGTCAGGAGTTCGAGACCAGCCTGGCCAACATGGCAAAACCCGGTCTCTACTAAAAATATAAAAAATTAGCCAGGTGTGGTGGTGGGCAGGTGTAATCCCAGCTACTTGGGAGGCTGAGGCAGAAGAATCGCTTGAACCTGGGAGGTGGAGATTGTGCCACTGCATTCCAGCCTGGGCAACAGAGCAAGACTCTGTCTCAAAAAAAAAAAAAAAAAAAAAAAAATCCAGAAAAGGATAATGTTGGCAACAATAACCATCCAGGACCCTAGCCCCGTGCCTGATGCCATCTTCACAATGCCTCATGGGTGGCTTACTGAGCCCTCAGCCTGGGCACCTGACATTTCCCACGAGGCAACCCATTTTGAGCTCCCAAATTTATAGACAAGGAAATGAAGCACAGAGTGGGTGAGTGACTGGCCCAGATCACCCAGCCAGTGGGTAGCTGAGCTGAGGTTCGAGTCCCATCCTGGCTCTTACCCTCACCGGGAGCTGAGGCACCTGCGGTGGGCAGGTGGCAGGGTTGGGGGGTTATGACCTGCTGGGGCCAATTGCAGCAGGGATTCCCCTGGGGATGGAGGGGACAGGCTGGAGGCGAGGCGGGGGGGGTTTGGGGGGGGACAGCTCTCACTCAGGGAGGCCACCTGACCCGGGGCACAGGCCTGCGTGCTGAGCAGAGGTGGGAGGGGCCGAGTGGGGGTGGGGAGGCGCCCAGAGATTGTGCTGACTGCAGCAGAAAGCTCGCTTCAAAATTTTATCAGCTCAGCGTGGAGAAGGTGGGGGCGGGGCCGGGCTAGGAAGATGTGTGATGGCAGAGAGGTCTGGCCCTGCGTGGCAATGAGCACCCCCGCCCCCACGGCGACCCCTGCCCCCTGCCCACAACAGGCAGCCTCCCGGCCCACCCCTCGGCCCCCTGCTGTCCCCAATGCCCCCTCACAGCCAGCCCCAGCAGGTCTGACGCTCATTGGTGGAGGAGGGGGAGGAGGGAGATGCTAAGATCAAGGTCAAAGAATCAAAATCAAGACCCGGTAATGGGCTGGTAGCTCACGTCCGTAACCCCAGCACTTTGGGAGGCCAAGGCAGGCGGATCACCGGAGGTCAGGAGTTCAAGACCAGCCTGGCCATCATGGTAAAACCCTATCTTAAAAAAAAAAAAAAAAAAAAAAAGAAAAAAGAAAAGAGAAACCCCATTTCTACTAAAAATACAAAAATGAGCTGGGTATGGTGTAATTCCAGCTACTCAGGAGGCTGAGGCAGGAGAATCGCTTGAACCCGGAGACAGAGGTTGCAGTGAGCTGAGATCATGCCACGACACTCCAGCGTGGGTGACAGAGTGAGATTCCGTCCCAAAAGAAAAAAAAAGTGGCCGGGTGAGGTGGCTCACGAATGTAATCTCAGCACTTTGGGAGGCCGAGGTGGGTAGATCACCTGAGGTCAGGAGTTCAAGACCAGCCTGACCAACATGGTGAAATCCTGTCCCTACTTAAAATACAAACAATTTAGCTGGACATGGTGATGGGTGCCTGTAATCCCAGCCACTTGGGAAGCTGAGGCAGGAGAATTGCTTGAACTTGGGAGGCAGAGTTTGCAGTGAGCTGACATCGCACCACTGCACTCCAGCCTGGGCGACAGAGTGAGACTCCGTCTCAAAAACAAATCATTGGTGGTGTGTGCCTGTAGTCTCAGCTACTCGGGAGGCTGAGGCAGGAGGATTGCTTGAGCCTGGGAGGTCGAGGCTACAGTGAGCCAAGCTTGCACCACTGCACTCCAGCCTGGGTGACAGATCAAGACCCTGTCTCCAGGAAAAAATAAAATACTGGGTAACTCTGCCCTGCTCTCCTTCCACACACCCTAGAGCCTGGGGGCCCCATGACCCTGCCTCACCCTTGCACCAGCACTAGAAGGTGGAGTGGCATTCACTCCCACTGCACCAAGGAGGAAACTGAGGCACAGAAAAGGGATGTGTCCACACAGCTGGGGCAGAGCAGGGCTGCATTTGGAGCATGAGCAGTCTGGTCCCAGGGTCCCCCTTGTTCCTGCAAATGCCCCTCTTCCTTCTCAGGCTGTGCACCTCTCTCTTTCTAGACGGTGCTGCCTGGGTTGGGGCTGGGCTGGTGACCCACCTGGGTCGTCATCTGGTGTGCATCCTCCCACATGCTCCGGCAGGCCCTGGGTGTGTGGGGATTCACGTGTGCTCCACACATGGCCTGAGTGCGCATGGCAGGGGGGTGCTGTGCACCCATTCAGGTCTTGGGGTGCAGCTGACACCCCGCACGTGGCCACATGCATGATCTTCTGGAACCTCCCATAGCCCCATCCAGCAATGGACACTGATCACCTGGCAGGCAGGGGAAAGTGAAGTCCAAACAGGCCACACAGCCAAGAAACTGCAGGAGCACCCCTGCTCCTAGCAATGGGGCCAGGGGCACAGGCGTCAGGCCTCCCACCTCCACGCTTCCTGCCAGGCCCCCGGGGGAGTCCCCGTGTTCACTGCCGCCTGGCCATCTTGCAGAGCTGAGCTCAGCTGCGCCTCCTCCTCTGGGAAGCTGCCTTGGAGCTCCTGAGCATCACAAAGCTTGCCGGGCTAACATCAGGCATTTGATCACCGGCAAACACCCTGTGGGAAGGGCCAGACTCGTCAGGCCTCTGCTGGCCTGGTCTGAAAGTCGATCAACCAACAGGCATTCACAGCACGCGGTGCCTGGACTCTTCCCGCAGGGCTGGCGCGGTCTGGCCCTCTCCTCTCCTCACCCCTGCTCCCAAAACCCTCCAGGACATTCTCATCCCCCTGAGGCCTCAAGGGCCTTCCTGCCTCCTCCCTCAGACATGAGGGTGAGATCCTGCCTCTACCGTTGGAACCCCACAGCCCACCTGCCTCCCTGTCAAAAAACTTCCTTATACTACCTCTCACTTGAGACCTCTGTGAGCCCTGCCTCCTCCATCTGACCTCCACATCCCATCAGCAGCCACCCTGGGCCCTGGATGCCCTGGCCTCCTTCCTCCAACACTCCTTGCCTGTGTCACCCCCATTAGATGCTCTCTTAGGCCTGCCTCCCCTCTCAGACCACCGTGTCACATCTGCACATACTGGCCTCCTACCTCACACCCTCCTTGCCCCAGGTCACCCCTGTCAGACGCCCTCCAGGGTCGCCTCCCCACTTAGACCACATCACATACACAAGCACCAGCCTCCCCACTCAGACGCTCTCCCAGGCCTGCCGCCCCACCCGGACCACATCACATCTACACGTACCGGCCTCCTCCCTCAGACTCTCCATGTGCCGTGTCACCCCGGTCAGACCCTCTCCGAGGCCTGCTGCCCCACCTGGATCACCACATTGCATCTATGTGCACCAGCGTCCTCTCTCAGATCCTCACTGCACCATATCACCTGCTTTAGATACCTTCCTAGACTCGCCTCCTCTCTCAGACCACCACATTGCTTCTACACATACCAGCCTCCTCCCTCAGACCCCTGTCACTCCCATCGGATGCTCTCCCAGGCCCACCTCCCCCCTCAGACCACCACATCACATCTACAGGTACCAGCCTCCTCCCTCAGACCCTCCTTGCCCCATGTCACCCCTGTCAGATGCTCTCCCAGGCCCACCTCCCCCCTCAGACCCCCACATCACATCTACACGCACCGGCCTCCTCCCTCAGACCCTCCTTGCCCCATGTCACCCCTGTCAGATGCTCTCCCAGGCCCACCTCCCCCCTCAGACCCCCACATCACATCTACACGCACCGGCCTCCTCCCTCAGACCCTCCTTGTCCCATGTCATCCCTGTCGGATGCTCTCCCAGGCCCACCTCCCCCTTCAGATCACCACATCACATCTACACGCACCGGCCTCCTCCCTCACACCCTCCTTGCCCCATGTCACCCCTGTCAGATGTTCTCCCAGGCTCGCCTCCCCGCTCAGAACCCCGCATCACCTCTACACGCACCGGCCTCCTCCCTCAGACTCTCCTTGCAGCACGTCACCCCCGTCAGACGCGCTCCCTGCCCGCCACCCCGCTCGGGCCGCCGCACCGCACCTCACCTCGCTCACGCACGAAGTAGGCCAGGTAGAGGTCCAGCTCCTTCACGGCCACCCCGATGTGGTGCGGCTGCACGCACAGGACCGGGTGGCCGCACTGCGCGGCCTTGACCAGGCGCTCGCCGTCGGTGCTCTCCAGCGGGATGCCCTTGAACAGGATGACCATGACCAGGTCCAGCCGCCACACCTTGTCCGCCTGCCGGAGACAGTCGATGCGCCTCATCTTGCCCTTCTGGTCGGGGTTGGAGAGCACGCAGCCCGGCGCCTTCTTGCCGGTGATGCTCAGCACGAAGTCCTCGCGGCACTCGGGCCGGATGTCCTTGCGCAGCTTGGCCAGCAGCCGCGACGCCCACTTCTGCTTGACCTCGGGCTTCTCGCCCAGCAGCTCGTCCTTCACTGCGCGCTCCTCGTCCTTCGACATCCGCTTCTCGTGCTTCTTGAAGTATTTGCGTTTCCGCGCCTGCAGGTTGAACCAGGTGTAGGCGAAGGCGCGGACGTGAGGCAGCAGGGCCTCGATGAACGGGTGGAACTCATCCTGCGGGCCGGACAGGCGAGAGGTCAGGGGCGCCAGGGACGTGGAGGGCGGCCCCACCGCCGGCCCCGAAGGCTGAGGTCGGTGGGGCCCCGGACAGACCGCAGAGTGGGAGGGGCTGGGCAGAGGCGGGCAGGGGGGTCCTCACAGACCCGTGCGTGCCACCGGGGGGTGAACAGAAGGCCAGGGGGACCCAGGAGGAGTTTCTCAGGGACCTGCGAGAACCCACTGCCCAGATGAGCAAACTGACACTTGGACGACGTGAGAGGCACAAGCCCAGGCAGGAGTTTGTGGAGGACCGTCTTGAACCCCAGTACGCAGACGGAGCCAGCAAAGGGAGCCATTTGGAGGCTCCTGGAAGACTCATTGTACAGACGCGTGAAACAGGCAGGGAGAACGCACACGTCATGCGCCTATTCTGTGCCTGTCACAGCCAAGGCTGGGCTGGGTGTAATGGCTCACGCCTGTCATCCCGGCGCTGAGGAGGCCGAGGAAGGAGGATTGCTTGAGCCTAGAAGTTTGAGACCAGTCTGAGCAATGTGGTAAAACTCCATCCCTACAAAACAAACAAAAAACTACCGACACACACGCATACACACACACACACACGTACACACAAACACACATACACACACATATACACATACACGCAAACACGCAAATACACATATGCACACATACACACATACACACCACGCACACATATACACACATACACACACACAAACACACACAAACACATACACACGCAAACACACATACACACAAACGCACCTACACACACGCATATACACATACACACACGCAAACACAGACACACACAGACACACACATACACAAACACACATATACATATACACACGCAAACACATACACATACACACACAGACACACACATGCAAACACACATACACAGACACAGACACACATACACGCAAACACACATACACATACACACACACACACATGCAAACACACACAGACACAGACACACATACACGCAAACACACATACACATACACACAGACACACACATGCAAACACACATACACACAGACACAGACACACATACACGCAAACACACATACACATACACACAGACACACATGCAAACACATACACACAGACACACATACACACAAACACACATACACATACACACAAACACATACACAAACACACATACACAGACACACACATGCAAACACACACAAACACACACATACACATATACACACAGACACACACATGCAAACACACATACACACAGACACAGACACACATACACGCAAACACACATACACATACACACAGACACACACATGCAAACACACATACAGACACAGACACACATACATGCAAACACACATACACATACACACACAGACACACACATGCAAACACACATACACACAGACACAGACACACACGCAAACACATACACATACACACAAACACAAACACACATACACACACACATACACACACACGCACACACACATACACACACAAACACACACACATACACATATACACACACAGATACACACACAAAAAAACCAGAAACTAGCCAGGCAGAGTGGGAGGGGCTGGGCAGAGGTGGGCAGGGGGGTCCTGTAGTTTGCACCTGTAGTCCCAGCTAGTTGGGAGGCTGACGTGGGAGGATTATGTGAGCCCAGGGGTTTAATGCTGTGATGGCTGCATTCCAGTGCAGGTGACAGAGCAAGACCCTGTTTCCAAAAAAAACTTTTTTAAAGGCCGGGTATGGTGGCTCACACCTGGAATCCCAGCACTTAGGGAGGCCGAGGTGGGTGGATCACCTGAGGTCAGGAGCTCCCGACCAGCCTGGCCAACATGGTGAAACCCCGTTTCTATTTAAAATACAATAAATTAGCCAGGCATGGTCGCACACACCTGTCATCACAGCTTCTTAGGAGGCTGAGGCCGAAGAATCGCTTGAACCCGGGAGGAGGAGGCTGCAATGAGCCGAGATCGTGCCACTGCACTCCAGCCTGGATGCCAAGAGCAAAACTCCGTCTCAGAAAAAAACAACTAGGGTGGGCGGTCAAGCATGGTGGCTCACACCCGGAATGCCAGCACTTTGGGAGGCCACCGTGGGTAGACTGCTTGAGCCCAGGAGTTCCAGACCGGTCTGGATGACATAGTGAGGCCCCACTTCTACAAAATCAAAGCTTAGCTGGGCGTGGTGGTGCATGCCTGTAGTCCTAGCAACTTGGGAGGCTGAGGTCGGAGGATCAATCGAGCCCTGGAGGTCAAGGCTGCAGTGAGCCAGGACTGCACCACTGCACTCCAGCCTGGGTTACAAAGTGAGACCCCTGACTCAAAATAATAATAATAATAATAATGAGGCAGGCGCGGTGCCTCAGCACTTTGGGAGGCCGAGGCGGTCAGATCACTTAAGGTCAGGAGTTCGAGACCAGCCTGGCCAACATAGTGAAACCCCATCTCTACTAAAAGTACAAAAATTAGCTGGGCACGGTGGCATGGGCCTGTAGGCCCAGCTACTCAGGAGACTGAGGCAGGAGAATCGTTTGAACTCAGGAGGCAGAGGTTGCAATGAGCCGAGATCTCACCACTGCACTCCAGCCTGGGCCACAGAACGAGACTCTGTCTCAAAAAACAAAAAAAAAAGGCTGGGTGTGGTGGCTGACGCCTGTCATCCCAGCACTTTGGGAGGCCGAGGCAGGTGGATCACGAGGTCAAGAGACCGAGACCATCCTGGTCAACATGGTGAAACCCCCTCTCTACTAAAAATACAAAAAAGTAGCTGGGCATGGTGGCGCGTGCCTGTCATCCCAGCTACTCAGGAGGCTGAGGCAGGAGAATTGCCTGAACCCAGGAGGCGGAGGTTGCGGTGAGCCGAGATCGCGCCATTGCACTCCAGCCTGGGTAACAAGAGCGAAACTCCGTCTCAAAAAAAAAAAAAAAAAAAAAAAAAAAAAAAAGGCAGTCTCAGCCGTGGCTCACACCTGTAATCTCAGCACTCTGGGAAGCCAAGGCAGGCAGATCCCAAGGTCAGGAGTTCGACACCAGCCTGGCCAATATGGTGAAACCCTGTCTCTACTAAAAATACAAAAAAAAAAAAAAAAAAAAAATAGCCACGTGTGGTGGGTGACACATGCCTGTAATCTCAGCTACTTGGGAGGCTGCGGCAGGAGGATTGCAGTGAGCCGAGATCATGCCATTGCACTCCAGCCTGCGGGACAGACTCCATCTCAAACAAACAGACAAAAATTGTAAAAAAAAAAAAAACAAAAAAAAAACAAAAACCTTGTTCCTGAAGAGCAGACGTACAGACAGGCCTGGCTGAGGGCCACAGGCAGACACGAGGGCTGCCTGGAGGCGGGGGCTGATGGAGGGGTGGGGGGACTTCTTCACGGAACCTCTGCAGGAGCCAGGAAAGGTGAGGTTGGTAAGAGATTCAAGTGCACCAGGATTCAGCAGGGGAAGGAGAGCTCACATGGGAGTCCTCTCCCCGCCTTCCCCTTTCCGTGAACCCCACTGTGCTGCTACAGAAACAGCAGAGACGCAGACGCTTAGCCACGAAGGTTCTAAGCCGGGGACGGGCCGCCCCGTTCCCTGTACACCTGTCAGGGAGAAAAGCCGCGGGCTGGGGACACGCTGAGACGGGGCCAGAGCTGGGTCTTCAACCCACTCCCAGTCATGACGAAATGGTGTCTGCGGGCAGCCACGACACCCACGCTACAGATGAGGAAACTGAGGCCCTGAGGGGGAACCTGGCCATCGGGGGCAGAGGTGGGACTGGAATCTAGCCTGGGCGACAGAGCAAGACTCCCTCTTAAAAAAATAAAAAGAAAAGAAAGAAAACAAAAAATAAAATAACAAACTAGGGGCTGGGCACAGTGGCTCAAGCCTGTAATCCCAGCACTTTGGGAGGCCGAGGTGGGTGGATCACGAGGTCAAGAGATCGAGACCATCCCGGTCAACATGGTGAAACCCCGTCTCTACTAAAAATACAAAACAAATTAGCTGGGCATGGTGGCGCATGCCTGTCATCCCAGCTACTCAGGGAGGCTGAGGCAGGAGAATTGCCTGAACCCAGGAGGTGGAGGTTGCGGTGAGCGGAGATCGCGCCATTGCACTCCAGCCTGGGTAACAAGAGCGAAAACTCCGTCTCTAAATAAATAAATAAATAAATAAATAAATAACAAACTAAAAACATCCGGGACCTGGTTTCTCAGCCTCAAGGTGGACTAAATTCAAGGAGAACTAAGACAGAGAAGCAGGGCGGCCTGCCTTCTCCCTGCCTGGACCGGGCTGGGCTGGGCGTTTCGGAAGGGGATGACCCCTTCCTAACACAGGGGCCTGCACCTCTCCCCCCGGGTCCGCCCCTCCCCTCTCAAAGGGCCCCATTATTATTAATGCTGCCATTACTGTTACCGTTACAACTTACATTGCTATTGTCCTTTTTATTACTTTTTTTTTCTTTTAGAGATGGGGGGGGGGTCTCATCACTTGAACCCGGGAGGTGGAGGTAGCCGTGAGCCGAGATCACGCCCCCGCATTCCAGCCTAGGGGACAGAGTGAGACCCTGTCTCAAAAAAATAAAAAGAGACGGGGTTCTCACTGCAGAGCAGGGGCACAATCTTAGGTCACTTGGGCCCTGAACTCCCAGGCTCAAGCGATTCTCCCATCTCAGCCTCCCGAGTAGCTGGGACTACAGGTGTAAACCACGCCTGGCTAATTTTTATTTTTATTTTTGCAGTCATGGGGTCTCACTCACCATGTTGCCTTGGCTGGTCTCAAACTCCTGGACTCAAGTGATCCTCCCACCTCAGCCTCCCAAGGTAGTGGGATTTTTTTTTTCTTTTCTTTTCTTTTTTCTTTTTCTTTTCTTTTCTTTTTTTTTTGAGACTGTCTCGCTCTGTTGCCAGGCTGGAGGGCAGTGGCGTGATCTCACTGCAACCTCCGCCTCCTGGGTTCAGGCGGGTAGCTGGGATTACAGATGTGCCAGCATGCCC